CTGGGCCGCTGTGTGTTCGGGTGGGAGTGGCCTCCGTTTACTGAGTGCCCAAGGCATGGCAGAGACCTTGCTGGGTATTTTGCAGCCCCAGCAATAGTACCTAAAGCTCGGAGCACTTCCTGGTGCCAAGATTCTATGATCCCTGCTTTATGGGCTTGAGACAGACTGGAAGGACAGATGTACCACTGACGTACACACAGGTCAGATGGACATGGTCTGAGAGAGGACGTGGGCAGAGAAACTGGCAAAGGCCTAGGAGAAGCACTTGGATACAGGATGGGCCCAGTGTCACTGTGGGTCCTTTGCAGGGCAATATGGCTCTCCACGGCCTGCAGTATGGGGTGGTAGAAGGTATGAGGACTTGTCACCCAGTGTGCACTGAGTTCCCTCATCTCCCAGCTCTACACACTGTGCATAACTTAGAAAACCCTTCTGCTGTTGCCAAGATCTGGAGTGACCCCCCAAAGACCTATCTGCTAAGTCTGGAGCCCCAGGGTGGCCCTGTTGGGAGGTAGTGGCACCATTGAGAAGGGCATCTTTCTGGAAGGTCCTTAGTCATGGAGGGGGGGCAGCATTCAAGGGGAATTAGGACTCTAGGTTCTTCCTCTTTCCCTTCACATGAGGGAGAGCAGCTTTGCTCTTTCAGGCAATTTCCCTGGGATGTGCTATCCTCACCCCCAAAGGCCCAAAATAATGGAACCGATTGGTCCTGCCCTGGAACCTCCAAATTGTGAATTTTCTGAAACAAGCCTTTTCTCTTTGTAAGTGAATCATGTCAGCTATTTTGTGACAGTGATGGAAAGCTGAACAGACACACCTTCTAGGCTGTAGAAACAGATTCTGAGGGTCTGGTTGGCAGGACTGGTGTGAAGCTGAATCTGACAATTGAGGCGAAGTGCTCAGAGGCACTGTTTATTAGATGCAAAGGTTCATGGGGAAGAAATGTGACCTCACCAACCTTCACTTACCTCATCTATAAAACCGGAACTCTGTGACTTAGACAGGGAGCCCCCTTCCATGGAGAAAAGCCAAGTCTCAGCTGGACTCGGGTGACTCAGATTAAATCTTGATTGTGCCACTCAGGAGTTGTATGACATCAGACAATTCCTGCAGCCTCTTTGAGACTCAGGTTCGCATGCAGAGAACAGCACTAACCACGGTGCCTACCCGCAGGGTTGTTGGGGGGAATCGAATGAGCTCACAGACGTAAAGAGCTCAGAACAGCCCCTGGCACTCAGCGCGTCTGCTAGCGCTATTTTCCTAAAGTATTATTGCAAAGACCCAACGCAAGCGTTTAAAGCACGGGGAAATGAGTAGACTAGGTGCTCGATCAACTTGCAGACATCTGTTGTTTCTGCAGATGGAATCCCATTCTCTGTCTGATGACAACAGAGCTTCTCTTTCCCGTGGAGAACCTGTTCCCCAAACCAATGGGGTGAACATCCACCCTGCATCCAGTCATCCCTAAGCCAGTGGGATGAGCACATGACCATACTAGAGTCACCAGAGGACATCACACTGCTCACAGCAATTTGCTCAGACATCGCCGCCCCCACCCGCCGCCCCCAGTCCTTTTCTACCGCACAAAGCCACTCTCTACTGAGATTGAAAGATTACGACATGGTGAGTCTTCTGTTTTGGCTTGTCCCCATCACCAGGTCCATTTCCGAGGGATGGAGGGAGTGAGATGAAGTCCTGATGACATCACCAAGCCCCTGGGTCCAGTGGTCCCTGAAACCAGTGCTACCGCTCAGTACATGAACTGACACATTTCCTCTTTGCATTGAAGTGACTTTGCCTCATTTCTGGCGCTTGCTGGCTAATAGCATTATTGCCATAACACAGGTTCTCAATAAATATCACTTACCTTTTCCATCACTACTCCAAGCACGTCTATTATGCCACCACTGCTTTTCCAAAAGGTATTCTTTGAGTGGGTAGCACTTTTGCTCTACATGTCTAGCAATAAAAGAAAAATGTCCACAGGCTCTGCTTATCCCACACATGTACCGCGGAGCAGTCAGCAGAACAGAAGCCACACTGAGCTCTTCCCTGGGAAATGGCTTGTGGTGTCTCCTGGGACGCAGTGTTCTTTTAGAACAGAGCTGGTGGCATATGTACACACTCATGATTGAACATTTACTGATTTCTAATTTGTACCCTGCTTGCTTCCAAAAAGGCCCTGGAGTGGCTGACAAAATAAGACAAAGACATAATAGGGTCATTAGGAAAAATCAAAGATCAGGCCCAAAGAGGAAAGCAATGGCTGATTATAGCTCAAACCTGGGTTAACAGAGTTGCTTCAATAAAAAAATACAAATTTAGCTCCCAGCTTTTTAGCAGTCATTCAGAATGTGTCATGAGAAGGCATACAGAGATGTGGACATCCTTCATGTCTACTGTTCTGCACCTGGCACAGAGGCAGGTTCCAACAGGCACCCAGGGAAAAGCTTCCTGAATAAATAAAGGAATGGATGAATAAATGAATGAATGAATGAATGAGTAAATAAATAAACAAATGGCAGATGAAAGAATAGAAGCTCTCTCTAAGAGTACTGCTTGTATTTTCGGACTTCTCTCACACATGTGTTCCTCTGCCCATCATGTGCTAATCTCTGTGCCTGGCCAGGGACCTGGAGAAGGATGGATACCAAATGGGCTGGACACCATTCCTGCCTTCCCAGCTGCAGCAATCTGGCTTGCAGCAAAAGCTCAGTGTAATTTATCTCAATGCTCATGGTAACTTCCAGTTTCTCCATACCTTGCAAGAATGGAGATCAGAAACTGAGGTTGCAAAGATGGTAACTGTAGGAGAACCAAAGTTACCTCAGCCCTCCACTATCCAGCTCTTGAACCCTAGACGCCTACAGTCACATCATTATCCCACCGGGTACTTCAGCTCCTCTGAAGGGGCCAGAAAGGCGGAGGGGCATCTCCCCTTATGATGAGGACATTGTGGCACATAACAGAAAGGGACTCTCCCCAGCTCTTTCAGTTAGAAAGTGGCAATTAGGATATAATGCAGTTGCCCCTGTGCCTGGCCCCCAGCATCTCAGAGACCGGTTAGCACCACCTGCAATTTCTCTTGTGCCTGGCTCAAGACCAGCCCTGCACAAAACCAGCAGCACCTGACGGCCATAGGGAAACTTCTGTGAGCAATAACCAGCCCAGCTGACACCCTGCAGCAACCAGAGTATTCAGACCCCCTCCATCGTGGACACCAAGCCACCCCTCCCATCCAGGACCTGCTTCTGCCTGGAGACTGAACTGAGATTCCAGGTGAAAAGCATGGCGCCCACAGTACTTTGTGAAGCGCAGGTTGGGAAGGTGCAGAGCAGTGCTAGATGGACGGATATCCAGTGAGCATTTAAGGGAGGAGCTGCATCATGGCTCTGAATCTGCAGTTCCTCGTCCACGGTCAACGCACCATGGACTGGAAAAATTGTGTCTACACTGAACATGTACAGACTTTTTTGGCCGTTATCCCTAAAAAAATGCCATATAACAACTATTTGCCCTCTATTAGGCATTATAAGCAATCTAGACAGCATTTCAAGTGTAAGGGAGGATTGCATAGTTACATGCAAATACCATGTCATTTCATATAAGGGACTTCGAACATCCAGGGATTTTGGTATCCATGCGGGTCTTGGAATCAATCCTCTATGGATACCAAGAGATGACTGCAGGGAAAGGCAAGTTTAAAACCAGGGAGGTTTCTGGAACATCCACTGTGCAGCCAGCTCTGCCGGGCACTCGGGCTACTGAACTGCACTTCCTCATGCTGTGGACCCATCCAGGTGAACAGACTGGAGGAGGGGGCAGGGGGCACATCTCTCCCTACTTTTAGCACAGTCAGCCTGGTGGGCTTTGCCAGAGAAATGGTGTGTATGGCAAGAAGAGGCCGTGATGAGTACATTCTCCACTGGACCAACCAGCCCTGGTCCCTTCTTATTACAACAAGGCTCTCTTTGCAAATATATTCATGTGCGTGGCGTGTGTGTGTGTGTGTGTGTGTGTGTGCACGCGTGCAGACACACATAAATACATGTTCCCAATTCACAGCTCATTCGTAAGGGTACACTGACATCTGTTTCATATTTTTTAGTTTATTCCAGAGCCTTCATGCATTGTTTGACTCCATAAGTAGGCATTAAACAGCCACAGAGAAGGAGAATGGTGGCCACAACACTGGAGCCTCCCCAGTAATTGCTGATCTTCCCAGCCAGGCTATAAATCTCACTGCCTAACAGTCCCTGTGTTAGTTCCTGTGTCACTCCATTCAGAAAGTGGCCCTTAGGCAAACTGAATTCATTCCATGATCCACACTAGGCATCACCAGCAGGATTTCAGGCTCACAGTCATGGAGCTGTTCCCTGTGGATAAACAGTACTTTCCCAAGAACGCCATACTAAGTCATGGTTGACCTGAGCACCTGAGTTTCTAAACTCTCATGGTTAATAAATGCATAGAGTTAGTGCCAACTCTTCCCCTCTTGCTATCCTCTGGACATTCTGGAAGATTAAGTGAAATTCAAAGTGTTCCTTCCTTTTCCCACCAAATCGTAGACCTGAAGACCCAAAGTCCTGGACTGGCAGTGATAGGAAGTAAGCAGTGGTCAGGAGTTGCTCCAGCCAACCAGGCAGTGAGGGTGAAACGCTTAGTCCAAATGAGCACCATTCAAGATGGTACACAGGCAGCCCTGCGGGAATAAACACCCAAACCTTCTCAAGGAATGTCCCTGACACGAGTTGAGACCCACATTACGTGGAAGGAATCCTCTCTCCTCAAAGGGAAGGAACTACCATGGACTGCTACCCCTCACTTAGCCAAAGCAGGTGTGGGGGAAGGCACACCACTGCCAGGCCCTGCTCCATGCTAGGGCCTCCACTGCCTGGCTCCAAGCAGTATGGGTTCCACACACCAAGGCAAGCACAGTCTCCACACCACCAAAACCAGGTAAGGCCCAGTAGAGAACACAGGTCAACTCTACTCACAGTCTGGTGAGCTTTGGCGTGCTCTGAAATAGCAATTCCGGAAGGACCTGGAGCTTGTTCTTGTTCAGACGCCTACAAAGGAAGAGATTGAAAAGATGTCAAGGGGACATCAAATTGGATCAAGCATATTCCCAGACACTGCTTTCATCCGTCAATCAATCAATCCATCATCAACAGGTATGAAGAGACTCTTTAGGTCATTCAGTACGGGATGTCCAACGTGTGAGGAGTATACCATCTTGGCAGAGCTTGCGGTCAAACTGGACACAGAAGGCCAAGGTCAGTTCTAAACATAAACACAGCATGTGTGCAATGCCTTCCTTCCCTCTGCCACCGCATCTCTACGACAGACATCACTAACTGATCACAGCATTCTTTCCCATGGAGCCCAGACAAGACTTCTGAGCTTTTCTCACCATGAGCTGTGGGTAGTTATTACCAACTGATGGAGCTGCTGTGTGAAATAGGCCCCTAAAAGCATAAATTAAATGTCATAGAAAATAGTCCAAGTCCTCAACAGCAGTGGTGATGGGAGCCGATGGCAGTTACTATAGGAACAGAAATGAGGGCAAGGCAGATGGCCATGGGTTGAGGGACCGAGTGTCATCCCAGCCACTCTGGCTCTCTGGGCCACAGCAGAGCTGTATTATGACTTCCATATGGGTCCTCGGCCTTTCTGCCTTGTGTGCTGCTCTACAGTAGGTTTTTACATATTGTAACTGCCTCAGTAGGAAAACAAATATAGCCATATCATATGTATTTCAACCTAAATGTTCATGTTTTTATTCCGATTTTAAAACCAAGAAAACATTTTCAAGGGTCCTCACAGTATGGTGGGTCCTGGGCACTGTCCCCACTGTGTCTATCAGAGAAAGAGGCAAGACGAGGTCAAATTCAGTCCAATAGAGACAGCCCATGTTGGAAGATGGCTAACAACACCAGTCCTAGACTCTTCTGAGCATGGTCAATGCTACATGCTCACAGGAAAGAAAGCCACCTGAGCTTCCAAAGAACACTCAGCTACATTTAGAGTCCCCATGGAGGCTGCTTTCTGGAGGAGTTAGGCCAGAGAGAGCCTCTGTTCCTTGCTAGCTCTGTGTCCTTCTGCCCTAGCATCTATTCACAGCTTAATTTGTGAAAGCATTCTCCCTTTTCACAAGAACCCCGACCCCCTATGTAGGCATACCCTTTACAGCCCCCAGAGTCTTCTAGAGCCAAAGAGCAGTTTATAGTTTGGGTGAATTTTTCCAGGTAGAGTGAAGGGTTACTTGGGACAACTACATTATCCCCGACCTTACAGCTTAGTAAACTAAGGAGAGAACAGGTGCGCTTCTCCCCAGCCTGTTGCCCCAAAGCCAGCACTGTCTCTTTCTCCTACATTCACATATAGCAGACGTGACTCTGCGGGATTCCGCTACCATTCTGAAACCCTTTATCCAATGTCAGTGGACAGGCACTTCAGTGGGATGTGGGATTCAAAGGACTTCAGAAAGGCCAAGCATGAGAGAGAGGATGCTCTCTACTGAGTCCCTTTCCAAAAAGTGATCTGGGATGCTGCTGGGGAGACTTGGGACCAGAAGGAGGCAAGGAATAAGACTGGGAGGTGGGAGGAGAAGCTCTAACTCCCTGGCCCCTCTGCTGTGGTCTGACTCCAACACTAGTACTGTCTTTCATTTTCTGGTTTGATTTATGGTAGTAAAACCATAACGTGAAATCGACCATCTTCAACCTATAAGTGTGCACTTCAGCAGCGTACAGCACATTCAACTTGTTACACACAGACCTCCAGGGGTTTTTCATATGGCACGGTGGAAGGCCTGTACCCACTAAATGACTCTATTTCCCCGCTCCCAGCTGGCCTCTGTCTGCTTTCTGTGCCTTTGAATTTGCTTTCTGCTCTGTTGACCTCTCCTGGTGTCCTGGCTATGTGCTCTTGGCACGGGGACCCAGAGAAGAGGAAGATAAGTTCCTTGTTTAGAGCAGTTCTCTTGTGGGCAGTGATAGGTCCCTTTGTACAGGTGGAAGCCACCAGTCCCGGAGAAGGCAAGGTGTTATGACTTTGTGATTAGCTGAGCTGGAATCATGCATCTAGCCTTTTGAGCCTCAGTTTCCCACCTGCTAAAATATCCTGCCTCTCTGGGTTACAATGAGTCTTTGTTCAGTGCTTATGCAAGAGTTTGGCACTGCGTTAAGAGCACAGCAATAGTAAGGAAGGTGAAGATGCCTGGGTGCTACCTGCTGCCCTGGCAGGATCTCACAGCTGTGCTGGGCCAGCGTTGTCAGTTGTCATCGTTCCTGAGTCTTGCATAAGACATCCTAAGCCTGGGAGGTGGTGCACACCCTGAGGACACAGCATTGGGAGGTGCTACAACAGGATCTGGGTACAGTCAGCCTGGCTCCAGAGCACTGCTTCTGGAACACCAAGGTCCTCAAAGCCTTTGAGAAATGACAGCTCTCGGCCCCTTTCCCTTTCTTCATTTTCTCTGCTTCTTTTCATCCCAGAGTTGTCACCTCCTCCTCCCAACACAATGATCCCCCAGAGGACACTGCTCTGCCTGCAAAACACTCTCTTGGAGGTCCCTCAGGGGAGGCCTGGTCTTTCCATGGGTCTATCTGGACCCACCCTCTATTGTCATAGCTATACAAAGCCTGGTAAAAGTAACAGATACACTTCCAACACTCCAGTCTAGGCAAAAAACCTAAACTCTGGCCCACTCAGCAGGGGTGGGGTAGAAGGATGGGGGAGGGGTACAGTGTGCTAAAAGCCCCAAACCAGAGTTGAAACTAAAAATAAAACCAGCATGGCTCCAAGGCTCCTGGAAGGAAAGGAATCATTTTCGTTTCTTTGCGGGTATTTGCGGCTAAACAAAAATAAAAATGCAACCAAATTTAGCCAATTGTGTTCTGCCTACAGCTTCCTAAATCCTGAGTGAGGATTCCCAGGGGCCAGGATGGGCTTTGATTCCCAAAAGCTTTGGGGTCTTTCCACTTCAGTTTGGGCGGGTCACATGTTGGTTCTCCTATTCGGAGCTTAATACTGCAAGTATTTCTCGGTCACTCCAGAACCTAGTCAAGTCTGCTTAGTGACAGGCTGGCCTGAAAGGTCTACCTCAAAAAGCTGGTAAAGACTCCAGGCTCTGTAAGTGCTGATCCTATAGGGCTGCTGTAGAAACAGGAAAAAGAAGGGAAATGAGATGTGTGCTGTTCTCCCTAGGGAGGAATAGGAGATACTGGGCTGCAGATGGGGGCCACTGGTCAATGTGCACTAGTGCTGCTTGTGACCCTGGGCTCAGAAGCAGAAATCTCTGGCCACAGTAAAGGCTGGAAGTGAATCTGTGACTCCCCATTCCGGACAGGGAGCAGGACTGAGTGGAACTAAGGAAGTCAGCAAACATAGCCAGGTCCCAGAGGATAAGGCCCATTTTGGTGTCCCTTCTCCTCTACAGTCAAAAGTACTTTCAGCTTTCCTATTGCACGAAACGGGGAGCATGAAGGTCAGAACCCCACTGATTGCTGAGCTGACAAGTCACATTGCTGTTCAGCTTGAACCAGAGCTCTAAGAAACAGAGCCTTGTCTTAGTGGGAGCACTCAAAGGCTTCCTAGGTATACCTGGGTATACCTGAGTACACAAAATGTAATTAGAGATGTATACCACTGTGTTGTTGAATTTATCCATTTAGCCAACCATTCAAGTGTCCATCTACCCAATCACCATTCAACTGTCCATCAGTTCAGCTCTTCATTTATCTATTCATCCAACCACCACCTCCATCCATCCATCCACCCATCCACCCACCCACCCACCCATCCATCCATCCTTCCATCCACCCACTCTTGGTTAAGGCTGATGGTGGCTATGAGGTTTAGGAGACAGACATGACATAGTCAATAGGGTTTTGTAACTGTATGCATGTGACACTGGAAGGAGTTGCAAGAGAGAAGGTCATAGCAATGAACCCTGGGATCCAGTTTGGACAAGTGACCAATGGAAAGTACCAATCACCAGTAAAAGGAAACTGGAAGGGAGGAGCACCACACAGAAGAGTTGGTGAGGTGCTGGGAGTCAGAACTTCTGTACCCCTAAGGTCTCTCAAATACATTTCAACAACCAATACCAGTAATAATGTGAAGCACTGCACCCTGTACAATCTCACTGACCCTCCCTGGAGTCCGGTACTCTTAGAATGCCTAAATAAAAATACAGAGGCACTTGCCCAAAGTCAAAATAGGCCAACATGACTGTGTTTGGGTTTGAAAACAGATAACTGAGGCTAAACCTGTATTTCTAACTACTGTGAATTATGGTGATGTTTAACTTAGTGCTTTAGTTTAAACCATTCTGACCTATCACTAATGCTTGAGTCTCATCTTCCCAGTAAGTTTCAAAGGATCTTCAGAGTAGGAAATATGTCTAACACATCTTTTGTGTTCCAAGAGCACTGATACAGTGCCAGGCTCACAGGGACCGCCAAGAAGGGCTTGTCTCATTTGATGAATAAATCAAAAAGCAGGAATGGCCAACCCTGGGAGCCTAAGGGAGCATGGTCTTCCTGGACTAGGCAAGGGAGCCATACTTTATGGAAAACAGGACTCCCAGAGCCTCATCTGCCTCACTGATCTGCAAAGCAAGAAGGGGTGAGCTCACTGTTTCCTCTCTAGGAAAGGACAGGGCTAGGGGCCTCTAGGGCCAGCCATCACACGGCAAGTCCCTTCCTTTTCTCAGGGAGGTGTCAAAGTGGACTACCCTCAAAGGGCACCTTGCTTCAGTCAGGAACTCCACTTCCCTAGGCAGTTTCTTGGTCCATTGTACTTTTGGAATTCCCCACGTCTAAGCAACCAGGGCCAGAGCTGTGCTTTGAATAGCTGTGCTATTCAAAGAGGAGGTCCATGCCAACTCCCAATGGAGAGAAGGAAGGGATCCAGGCCAGGGAGTCTCAGGAGTGCCCAGATTTGGGGTTGATTCCATCAGTTGTCTGCTGAAGCCACCAATGATCGCATACCTGCTTGGAGTTTGCCTATTATAGCCTTGTACTTCTGAGTTCTGTGTGACAATACACACAGTTCTTTGCTG